ATTTGTGTTATTTTTATAATCTTTTGGGAATTCAGAGAACTGCCACGCTAACCAAAATATCAAAAGAGAAGGCAAAACCACAAAGCCGAGGCAGGCAGCCCTTCTGGTTGCAGCAAGTGCTCGTAGCTGCAGCTTTGCCAGCAGATCTCCCTCCAGCGGCCTTGCCAACTTGGAGAGGGCAGCCCAAGCTGACTCCTTTAGGATACTGCCAAGGCGTAGACTGTGCCAGAGGGTCAAGCTGTCCAGTAGGTAAGTAAACCTGGGTAAACTTCTTAACTTTTTAGGTTGAAACTTTTTTCAGCTCTATACTATGTTGCAAATAATATTATTTCATTCTAGAATACTCCAATATAAAAACACTGTTACATTAGGAAATGTCTTGATGTGTTTAAATAAATGTTTGATTATGTTCTAAATAGTAATCATAAAGTTTTGCATAGTTATTTGATATTTCAAACTACTTGATAAAACAGTATTTCAATCAGAAGCACTAAAAGTATTCTATACATTTACAATAGGTGGTTTCATTTATAACCTTAATTGGGAATTCGTTTTTATTTCTTTCTTTTTCTACTAATAAAATTATATTTTTCTTTTTTAAAAATGGTCTCATTTAGCTGATAGGTATTATAAGCCTAGTAACTAACTAGGAACCTCTTTTATGCATAAGCTGTCAAAAACTGAAAGGCTAACCTGTTGTCTCCCCATTTGCAAGTTTACTCAATTTCATCGTAATTATTTATATTTGCAGCATAGTTACTAAAAGAGTGGACTGAGTTCACACTGCCCAGGTTTCATATCCTGATTCCACTACTTCCTATGTAATCTCAGGTTGGTTACTTANTTCATCTTCTGTCACACCCAATATGCTTGTAAACTTCCTGGTGGAGAGACAGACAATCTCCTATAGTGGATGTGCCATCCAGCTGAGTACAGCCGTTTTCTTCGGGACAGCTGAATGCTTCCTTCTGGCTGCCATGGCATATGATCGCTTTGTGGCAATCTGCAACCCACTGCTTTATTCAGCCAAAATGTCCACACAAACCTGTGTGCAGTTACTCCTGGTTGCTTACATAGGTGGTTTTCTCAACACTTGTTCTTGTACTATTTGCTTCTATTCTTTACTCTTCTGTGGACCAAATCAAGTCAATCATTTCTTCTGTGATTTTGCTCCTCTAGTTGAACTCTCCTGTTCTGATAGCAGTATTCCTGCAATTGTTCCCTCTTTTACTGCTGGCTCCATCATCGTGGTCACAGTGTTTGTCATAGCCGTCTCCTACGTCTACATCCTCATCACCATCCTGAAGATGCGCTCCACTGAGGGGCGCCACAAGGCCTTCTCCACCTGCACCTCCCACCTCACTGCGGTCACTCTGTNCTATTACTCATGTCTCCATTACATATTCTTATATTTATACATTTCAATCTCTTTTGTTATCCTTAACATTCTTCTTTGTTATTCTCCTAAGTCTCAAATTTTTAAATCTAGCTTTAAAGCCACTTTAGTACATTTTATAATATATATGTATATATATATAGAGAAAGATGTACATTATTTAAAGCAATTTTTCTTGTGTTTCTGCTAAAAAAATTTTTCTAAGACACAGAAAGATTCACTATACATAAATATATAAATTCTGGAACTCCAGAGTGAAAAAAAAACAAAACAATTTTTAATCCAAACTTTGCTTGAATTATAGTTTTGTTCATAAAATACTTTCATGTATGTATTAATGAAAATGAAATTTACAAATTCTTTAATGTACTGTCTTCATCACAGGTGTTCATTTTTCCAGAAGCTTCTTTGTCTCATGGATTCCCTGGTAAATGGGAACCACACTGCAATGACTGGGTTCATTTTATTGGGCTTAACAGATGATCCAGTCC